GTACTTATGTCACTCGAAGTCCCTCTTTTGCTGGGAGAATACCTTCTCTGAAGCAGGAGCTAAAAAGGTTCCTCTGAACGGTTCTAGCAACTAAACTACTTCATAATCAGGGGCGTGTCCAGAGGGGTTGCCAGGGGTAGCATAGACCCCCCCTTTCAAATCGTCTTGGCTACACCAAGTGCCAACCCACAATGCTTGACAATTGTCTTGCCAGCGGTGGGACTGATGTTGAAAGTCAGGCTGTGTTGCAACAGGCAGCACATCGTTTAGATGTTTGGTTGCAATTTTTATAAAATATTTTAAATTGTGACTTTGACCGTACATGTTGTTTTGAGTCCTTGATGAATTCAGTTTAGAAGAAGGTATGTATTGCCGTTATCTTGTGGTACTTAAAAGTCGATGTGATTAGTGCAGACAGAAGGGATAAATAAATGTTTATGTTGTGTTCATCCCTCGTGTTGTGCATAAACAATTCAGGTCACCCCTGCACAAGTCAGTGCACCAGTTGGGCCACCCAAGTCAAAAGTCTGGACATGCCCCTGTACATAGTTCCTACGGTGATGAATCAATAAAAAAAGGGGTATAGTTCCAACAGTTCCTAGAATTATGAAAAACAAGCATAACAGCCTTAAGGTGAGCAGTGACACTGAACCAAAACAATAAAGCGGTGGGTCAAATATCCAAAAACAATGAACTTGAAGATGCTTTAATCCTCCATGGAGTAATCACATTTCTCTTCTTGGTTTGAGTGCTGCCCTTTTAAATTACACATTCATGTGATCTGTTACTGACAGACAAAGGAATAGTTATCGTGTCAGCATTCAGCCTCTCTCGGGAAGCTTTTCTGAATCCAACACTAATTCCGTTTATTTTCCATCCAGGCGTGACAGAGGCAGGGAAAGGAAAAGAAGAAACCAAAGAGGGGTTGAGACAACATTTTGGATATCCTAAAAAAAAAGTTCCTTATTATGTTACACTTTTGCAGATTCCATAAAATATGAAAACAAAGTTGGTCTCTGTTTGATAGCTCCAGGGAGAAAATGTTCTTGTCACAGTTGCTAATCAGATGAATTATAGCTATTTAGAAGGCCCGGCTGCTGCGTTTGGAAGACACTACTCTTTTGTACAGTAACCACTGGTCACAATGTTGTCAGCTACTTGTAAAACATTGCAGCCTGCATCCACATTTAATTTATCAGCGGAAAGCCTTGTCTTTACTCTTCCCACTTTCTCTTCAGATGCCTGCCTCGGCCTATGAATCAAAACAGTATAAAGAAGTTTGAAAAGCAGCTCTTTCTAAACCACTTTATCATCGATTAGCAACAGAGAGAAGAGACAACACACACTTCTGCTGTAACACTGGTGTCAGTTTCCTGTTCGGTGCTCCCTCCGTGCCAAACACAACTGGAAAGCAGCAAAAAGCCAGAAATTCCAGCCTGATAAGATTGCAGACAGAGCTGCTGCAGCTTCCTCTCTGCTTTCCACAGTATTGAACTGAGAGATGTACCATCTATTATAGCAGTCAGATGAGTATTGGAGAGTGATTGCAGGATTGAAACCTCCCTTTTTAAATCAGAGACTCGGTGTAGTGGCCTTGATGTGGTTATCCTGCCACCCACTCTGTGCTGTAATCCCTGCTGTCACACACACAACGCAGCAGGGGACTCAGACTGATGTCATGTCACTGAGACAGTCGCTGTCGCTGGGTAGATGAGCAGAGAAGAGGATGTTGATCTGTTATATAAATGGTTTCAACAGTACATTTACAAGTTTAAGTCTTTTTCATTTCATTAATGTAATAACCAGCATAAGGATTTATTTAAGCATTTAGTTATTTATTGTTTCTTTTATTCAACAATTTTTGTTTGACATAGTTCCAGTTTTAATTCGTTGTTGTTCCTCATTCATTAGATATTCTTGTTTTATTCATTTTTTTTTCACTGACCATCTTTGATGCATCTACATTAAAACAAATGTTTCTCAAATTTAAGGATACTTTTGGACATTTGAATGTTTTTAATACAAATATTAGTGCTTATTGTGGGTTTAAGAAATCCTAGTTTTGCACTGCTTACATGCACAATGAAAGAGTTTCTCAGTTTTGTTCTTTTTTTGTTGTTGTTAGAGGAGCAGTTTTGCCCTTAATGTAAAAAGGCAACGCTGAAGAGAAACAGGAAAGCCTGGAGGAAGAGGATATGACATTCAGAAAGAGGCCCAAGTTAGGATTTAACCCAAACCACTGCAGCAAAGGACTCACGACAGGACTCTTCCAGGAATGCAACCAGGGGCGTGTCTAGACTTTTTTTAACTGGGGTGGCCCAGCTGTGGCACTAATCTATGCCTGAAGTGTGATGTGGACCACAAACACACACAAATAAATATAAATGATCTACCCTTTCTAACTTCACCAACCATACCTACTTTATAACACAAGATAATGGCAACATTAGCGTAATGTTTTAATGACACAAAAACAAGATTTATGTTAAAGTATTTCAAAATGTGCATGCAAACTCCTGCACAGTCTAACTTGCAATGTTTTAGTCCTGCCACATTTCCAGTTAGTTCATTACAAGTAAGACAGAGTGCATTGCTTTCCTATGCACCTGTCTTGTGAAATGTACATTGATATGTAAAGACAAATAATAGCAGCCTCCTCCAAAAAAAAGACCTAATAGTTGGTTTTAACAAAAGTCCCGCTTCCGACAGGGCAAAAAGCCAACCACAGTTTAGGATTTTTGGGGTAGCCCCTGTGGCGGCAAATCAAATTTCTAGGGGGGCCCATGCAGCCCCTGGCCACCCATCTGGAAACGCCCCTAATTGTAACAATACAATACAATAAAAGCCTTTTTTTTATACCTGTTTGCCAGTTGTTTTGGTTTTTCTTGTCTACACAACACAACTCAACAGTTTCTGTCTAAGTCCTCATTGCTGTTTCATTACTGTTGCGTGCAACTGCAGTTTTTCTCTGCGAGAAAGTTCCAAACAACCCACTGTGCACTGTCTCAGCACCAAACAGCAGACGCTCAATATGAGTGGCAAACTCTTCCATACAGTGCAGCATTTAGCAGTTAAAGACCAGTTACTTCTCAGCAGTTTGTAAAGACTGTCTGGAGTAAAAAGAAAAATCAATATTAGACCTTAATGTGTCTGATCACCAAAAACACGACTTCCACTAAATGCTAATGTTTCTACCTGACTGCTATATTTGTAAAAAAGCCAACTTTTTACTCAACCATTAGCCATGCGTTTTATGGTTGACTTATAAAGGTAGTGGAATAAAAAGTACAACCTTTAAAAGATATATCTCAAAGATAAATGTACTGAAGAGAATCACAACTTCGCACAACCTGTAAAAACGTACAAAAGGTTTGAACTTAAAGCTTCATAGTAGTTGATAAATATTCTCGTTGGCAGAAGCGACAAGCACACGTTTGTATTAAGATGTAATGTGTTATGTTGCATTCATCAACTGGCCAGACACAAGTCCAGGATTTGCTCTCTGATCTTCTCATGAGCAAACCTGTTCACATCATTTTTACAAAGAAATTAAAAAGATATGCAATCAGAAATATGTTACATTTACAACCTCATCTCTAAAAAAAATGTGAGCCTGGACCGTTGAACAGCTTGCCTTCATCAAGCAATAAGGGGACAATTTTCCACTTTCAAATTGTATTCCCCGAAGCCGACAACCTGGGTTCAAATCCAACCTGTGGCTCCTTTCCTACATGTCATCCCCCACTCTCTATCTGATGCTAGAGTGGTAAACATGACCCTGTCGCAACCTTTTTTGAAAAGAGATGCTGGCATAAAATTGGGCAAAAAAATGGGCATTTATTTTCCAAAAATATGAAGATTTCTCAGTGTCAACATTTTACATGCTGTCTGCTATAAATAAATATCTGCTATAATAACAATAAAAATGGGGTTTTAATGTATTTTAAAGGCCCACCTGGGGACGGGCACTGCATATCAGCTTTGACTATAAATGCTGAAGTGTGTGGCAACGGTTTACTTTGTACTTGTTCCTATACAAATTTTTATAAAAGTTTTTTTTTTACAACCATTACATTCTGTTCTTATTTACATTTTGGCACAACATCCCAGTGTTACAGGACATGTGGTTGAAGAGAATCACTTTATACCACTGGTGTGAAGAGTCATTTGAGACAAACATTTAGTGCTAGGTGACAAAACATGACCATATCAGTCCTCTCTGTAAGATTATTATCGTGTTATGTCAGATTGGTAGTGTGGGTTATAAGGATCCTTGTCACAATACTGCAACTGATACATTTCCAACACTGGGCGTGTGAACCACGTGATTACTGCAACTCCCACAGTTGTTTTCAGACAGAATAGTTCAAAGAACAACAAAGAAAACAATCATTACATTTTTTTTTTTCATTTTTATTTTTGCAAATAGGAAAATAGCATTTCTGGTATTCAAAAAAAAAAAAAAAACAGCCTGTGTTCAACCATAAACACACGCATGGTTTCAACAGAGAGAGAGAGAGAGAGAATTGGATGATGATGACGATGATTAGGGAATACAGGTCTGGATGTAGGTCAGTAGAAGCAGCCTGGGGAGGCTCAGACACAAAGACAGCAACAGTTCAGACAGATAAACACGTCTGCCAATCTGTCTGCTTCGAACGGGTTTGTACATTATTAAGCATTGGTTGTTTTAAATGGAGAGAAGTTTAATGAATCCATTATGCTGTTGGCAATGATATGTGGAAGATTGCTGTGTAAAAAGGTGTGAACTGCTACATACAGAAGAGATCTGCTTTCGAGTTTTATCACCGACGTCGTAGTTTAAAAGTGTCTGCCGGTAAAACAGCGACAATCCATGATATGAAGCGTTAGCATACAGTGTCTTTATGTGAAGCACTGGTACATTTACAGGCACCATAGTGTCGAGATCAAAGAAGAAATAATAAGAGCAACTGTACGTCGCGGTGCACACTAACCTTCCTTAGTTAAAGTGATGATTCTTTTTTTTTTTTTTTTTTTTTTGGGTGGTTCCACTATATTTCATGGAACTGCCATAAGAGCACTATGACTGTTTCTGACTCTCCACCAACACAAGTGCACTTGAAAAGCAGCAGACTCAGCTTAACGGTTTGTGAATGGATAGAGTGGGACCGCAAATCCCAGACCATATTCAGCCTGACATTCCACAGATTGATCACGCTACAATCAAACTCACATAACGAGACCCAGAAACCTCTCCAGAAAACACGACTTTATAGCTTAATGCACTGATGGAAGATCCTCTTTGATACAAAAAAAAAAAGAACATTTATATAAAGGCTACAAGCTGTACATGTTATTCCTGTACGTTATGTTAAGTACACATCATATTAAATACACTAATACAGATGATAGAATAAATGTTAAGCTGCCTCGCCAGCTGTTTAAACCTATTAGCTTTTCTCGCTGCTATAACAAACAAACAAAAAAAAGGTTTTACAGTAATCGCTACCGTAAATAACAGGGAGCAGTGTTTGTTTTTTTTACATCACTTCTGCACCATTCCAGATCACATGTAACATATAGACCGAGACGTTTCCTAGGCCACATAAGTCGGCTGCACAATGATTTCAAGAGAATTTCAGGGAACAAAGGAGCTTATAAACTGTCACGCACCAAAGGGTGTCGTTTTTCCATGCTCTCACATGTCCAGAACAGGGATTTCTGGTTTGGCAACCCCCTACCTCAGAACCACAGTTAAATAAGAGCAGTCATAACCAAGATACCAGTAGGGTCAAGAGAGGTTCTATGATATGGACAAAAGGCATCTATACACATTAGGTCATACTGGGGCTGAGAGAAGGCATAGTGTATGTGTCAAAATAGGGTGGGCTTTAGGATTGGACGATTGCAATAAAGGCCAGGATTGGATGCAAAAACATCGTAAACTCCTATCATCGGTGTGGCCAAATTGTGAGCTAAGCTCCAAGTTATGTCTGACAAAGACAATGTCTACTTATTTAAAGAGTCCTACTGATCATTTAGGGAGCACTGTCACTCTAAAAGCATTCATCCCGCTGCCTTAAGTACTTCGTTATGATGTGCATTGGAAGCCTGATGAGTAGCACACAGAGCATCGATTTTACACTAAGTAGACTAAATATTCAATTTAGTAAGGTAGAAAAATGTTAGGAAGCTTCCCAAGTGTGGACCCTGAATTTTGGCTTTGACGAAGAAGGGAAAATGAGACAGGAAATGATTGAGCTCCCTACTCCTGTCACTGTTTACCAACCTACTTCGAACAGCACCTGGTAGCTTGGTAACAGGAACAGAAGGCAAGCAGTGATTGCAAAAAGGGGCCAATGTTGCGTGTCCTTATTGTATCTGTATGCTATACTTGAAGGCTAGGAAGTCCACTTTCATCTGAGCTCCTCCTGAGTCGGCAGTTCAATCAGAATCAGGAGGAGTTGCTCATAAGGAGCAGTGAAAAGATAAACAGCAGGGAGGAAGGGAAGGGAAGGAAACTGTGAGTAGGCAAAACCAGCCAGCTCAAGATTCTTCTGAAAGTTTTTGCTTATGAAGCATCAAAAGTCCTGAGGGATCCCCCCCCACCCCAACCCCGGTCAAAACCGAGAACCAGGTCAGGTAGGGCTGGCTGTGCTGGGTTGGTGCGGTGCAGGGCAGAGTTTAGACCAGCTGAAGGGGGTCACACAGTGGCTCTGATTATCCTGCTGGGCCGGGAGCTGCGGTGGACCTTGGTGTGTTTGGATAAGTGGTCGCTACGGGCAAACTTTTTCTCGCACAGTGAGCACTCGTACGGCTTGACGCCAGAGTGCGAGCGACGGTGACGAGACAGCTCATCAGATCGGGAGAACCTGAGGAGTAAAGAAACACAGAGTCAAAGGGAGACTGCACACGGGATAACTTATCTATGAAGTGATGAAGACAAAGATTTAGTCCCTCTCACATGTTTAAAAACTGTATATGCTGTTCAGATAAATTAATCAGGTTTTCATAGGGATTAACCCTTCAGATTAGGATTTCATGCCCTCACCATCATCAAACCAACAGTGGTGTTGTTTCGACGAATGGGATCCCTTTAATTCTTATTAAACTGGCACTTTAAAAACAAGGGGATGACTAATCGCTAGATGACTCCATTTCTATTTTAGCGATAAACATGTGACCGCTCATGTGCTATTTTTCCTTTGAACCCTATTTTTTGTAATGATAAACATTCTGAGATGGGCCACAGGAAGCCTAGTGGTTAGTGTGTGCGCCCCATAGGGGACGGCCCGGGTTCAAATCCAACCTGTTGCTCCTTTTCCGCATGACATTCCCCACTCTCTCTCTCTCTCTCTCTCTCTCTCTCTCTCTCTCTCATTTCTGACTGTATCCTCTGTCCTATCTGTAAATAAAGGGCCACACAAAAGAGAACACATTCTGAAATTCAATATTTATTTCGAGTGAAAAGAAAAATCAATATTAGACTTCTGTTACTAATCTCCTAGTTCTAGTTTTAATTTCTGTCTACTATGCAGCCCGGTTGATCTGGATAATGTCAGTAGATCAGTAAGCTAGCATTAGGGAAGCTTTGAAAACGTAGATCTATTACTGTCGTTACTATTTGTCTTTTTTTTGCTGAATCATTGATACAAAATATTTCTCATTGCATCTGCACAGACAGCTCCTCTTTTTTTTTTTTTTTTTTAAATCTGTTTCACCTACATGTGAATACATCGAGGAGTCTGGGGCGGAGTCAGGGGGGGGGCAGCCAAGGTCGCCCCAGAAATCTGACTGCACGCCCTAAAATCCAATCCTCTGATTGGCTATTTGCTGTGTCAGAGGCGGGACTTTTTTTTTTTTAGCAGCCCTCGTTTAAATTAATCATTCGTTAATCATCGTCATCGTTAATTGCTTCAGATAATGTTACTGGTCAGTTAGCATGAAGCAGAAAATCTAATTACAATTAACCTTTTGTTACTGTTCCCCCAAAATACTTCATTCCTCAAGAGCTACAGCATTCAGGACAGGGCTTGGTCACTGTGCATCTACATTCCAGGTAGATGCAACTTTAGAGATAATTGTCTCTATGATGCAGAGAGGTTTAATATTTCCTCATAGCACTATAAGCCACCGTGACACATTTTGCGATGACATAACTCTTCAAACACTCTGATCTGTTGTTACTCATCATACTAGACTTCCTGGAACATTCAAAAGCAACCCTTCTCCCAAATTTCAGCCGATCGCATTAAACGCAATCGCAAGTAGAATTAAACCTGACACAGTGATCAAAAGGTGACACGTACCTCCACCCACAATCCGGCCAGTTACATGTGTAGGGCTTCTCTCCTGTGTGCCGACGGAAGTGAGCTTTCAGGTGGCTGCTTTTGGTGTACATCTTCCCGCAGCCTGGGTGCGAGCACTTGTGGACCCTCTCTGTGGGCGGCACTCTCGTCACCCGGGGGGGCGCGGCCTTAAACACACCGCCGCCCTGTCCTCCGACCGCTGTCAAACCTGTGATCTCTAGAGTCCTCATAGTGATGGGCAGAGGGGCGATCTTCACGTACTTCTGGTCAACTGGCTTGCCATCTAGGCTGTTTAGTGCGAACAGGGTGGTGGGGGAGGAGGAGGAAACCTGCGGGGACAGCAGGGTGACGTTTTGTCCTGTTGCACCCTGCAGGCCCATCACCAGGTGCGTGAGCCAAATGCCACTCTGGGCCCCAGGGGGGGAGCCTGCTGGGGTCTGCGGCTGGGTCAAAGGGAGCGGCTGGAGCTGGAGCACCAGTGGACTGCCGAGGAGCATCGGCGGGGTTGAGGTGGAGGGTGAAGGTGAGGTTGAGGGTGATGGGTTAACTCGGGGAGGAGGGTTAGGGTCAGCCGGGTCGGGCCTGCTCTGCTCCTTTTTAGGAGCGTCTGGGTTTGACGTGGAGCGACAGGCTCGAGTCTCTAGGTCAGTGCCGGACTCTGAGGAAGCAGCTGGGGGGAAAGTTGAGGAGGTGGTGTTACTACATGGTTGGGGGCAGGCCTCCTCTTTTGGGGCAAGCAGCCCCTCTTTCACAAGTTCCATCTTTTCCCTCAAGAACTCCTCTATGTCTTCCAGGGTCGGGGAGAACGGAGACGAGGGATGGAACGGGAATTCTGGCAGCTTAGGCTCCTGACTCTCCGGTTCCTCCCCTAGGAAAATAAGCAGACGCATCCCGTCTTGCTCGTCTTCATCCTCCTCCTCGTCTTCCTCCTCCTCCTCCTCCTCCTCCTCCTCTCCAGGACTGCAGACGTGCGCAGCCCCCTGCTGCCCTGCCTCGGGGCTGTCGCAGGAGGCTGAACTGCCCCCCTCGCTGCAGGCGCCGTCTCCCAGTCCGAGGGAGAACAGGCTGCCGTCCCTGAACAGGTCATTCTCCAAGCTGAGCGTTCTGCTGCCGAGAGACACCATTGATCCAGGCCCCCGACGCAGAGGAGAGGATGTGGTGGAAACTCTATCCAGAAGCAGGATCACAAAAACCTGCAGGAAAAGCATTGAAAGAGGATTTTTATTACCGAGTTATAAAAAGCAGGGCATGAAAATAAAAACCTATTTTCCCCCCATTGCGAGAGAACAGCATCCGTCGTCTGCATCATTACACATGCAGAATTCTTAAAGACCTATTTTGAGTCAGTGTGGGCTGCTGTAAATGTAATACAATAAACTTAATGAACGTAAGAAAAGAAACTCAATAACGCTTTATTTTCTTAATTTGGATGACAAAAACCTAAGAATAAAAACACTGTATGTACTGTTTATGACATAACTCCACTTTAATACAACATTAAAGTCCTACTGCCCAACCCTTCCACACTCCCAATGTCATGATAGTTTACACCACATGATTGGCATTTGGCACCTTAAGGGAGAGATAGGGTTCAGTGTCTTGCTCAAGGACACTTCAACATTTAGGACTGGACAGGAGCAATCAGTGTTACGATTGGCTAACCACATCAGAGTCCAACAACTTCTTTTTTTAGGTTTTAAAAGCTTTGAATAAATACTACTTTTCACTTTTTTAAGTGCCACATGTGTGCGAGTCATTACTTCAGAAATATTAATGTCATGAGTTGTTTTTTTGTACTGTATTTCATTTCGGTACTGTAAATTATCAAATAATTTGCCATGAGAATACCAAAAACATGTTCACAGATGGGAACCAGCCCCATCAAGGAACCCGTGGACAGAAGCCCATTTAGCCAGTTTTGCTCTGTTGGTTTTTCTTGCTCTCCTCAGCTGCAGAGAAGCTTTTTCATTGGGCAAAGCGCTTACAGCCTAACTTCTGCAAATATGTTTAGATGTACCCCAAATTCAATGAGTTTGGGTTGTTGTGTAAAATGTTACTTGAAAAAACAGAAGGTGAGGATGTGCAAAGCATTGCCATATATCTTAATTGAAAACAGCAAAAAGAAAACGTATTAAAAAAAATGTTAAAACTGAAAACATTCTGTTTTATTTTATATTATACTCAATGCCCCAGTGTTTTAGGATATTTAGAATTTAAAAAATTAAATAGAAAATGAGGAGGCAACTTTAGTTTGGGCTTTATTAAAAAGTTAATCTTCACTTAGTAAACTCAGCAGAGTTCCTAGGGCTCGTTTGAGGTCTGCAGAGGTCAGATCTGAAACCTGAGTCCAAACAGATAATCTTCCAGTGAAACTTCCTCTCATGTAAAGGATGTGTATCGCTGCTGTCAGACGATCAGGCACATGTTGCAGCAGGGCCTCATACTCCACACAGTGCACGAACAAGGCGGCTTGGGGTAAACACGGCCCGCACTGACGCGCCCATACCCGTATGGAGAGCCGACGATCGGGCTGTCAGAGCGGACACAAAAAAACGGCGCTCTGACCGCGTTTGTTCAGCAGGAACGATCGATCACATGGTAATCCGCATGAATACAACAGCTCCTCTATAGGAATTCACGGGTCTCAAGTTCAGCTGGGTCAAAAAAAAAAAAAAAAAATGTCTATTTATACTCCTCCGTGACTCCGGAGAATCCGCGCAGGAGGTTTCCCGGACATTTGGCTCGACCTACCGTGTTTAGTTTTCGAGGAGGCTCGCTGAAGAAAAAGCAGCAGCGTCGATGGGATTTCTAATCCTTCGTGTTTTTCCTTTTTTTCCGTCGTGTTATTGTCGCAGCACACTCACATCCCGTCCTTGCCACGGGTCCATGTTGGCATTTTTTTTTTCTCCCCCTTAGCATCACGTGACCGCGGCGCTGCACAACTCGGAGGCACGGGTCCCTTTCTGCCGATCTGATTGGCCGAGCGCTTCGGAGGCTCGCCCTAAAAAGAGCGCTCCTATTGGCTGCCGCTCGATAAATTCTGACTGCCATGTGTTGATGGAGGGATCGCTTTAACCACGATTTAACAGGATACACTATGTGGCCTACTGAAGATGAGTTGAGAAAGTAGTTCAAACATCAATGTTTGTCGAATTTACATAAAATTGTTTGTTTGTCTGTCTGAGAGGAAGTCTCTGGATTCTTTTGTTGTTGTCTGGATCACCACCTGCTTCTGTTTTCTTCTTTGGCTTATTCCCGTTTTGCCCTCCCCTTTTGTACATTTCCCGTTAGTTGAGGTGGGTTTCATCTTTGAGGCATATTTAATATCTCTATCAATCCCCTTTTTTTTAAAGTTTTAATAGGCCTATATTTTTGTTTCCATCTATAAGTGTGTTTAGCTATCTGTTGATGTTAATATAAGGATGCTTGTTTACCCAATCAGTAACTGCAAAAATAATAACTATATATTCTTTCAGTCACCACAACTGTCTATTTATTTGTTATTATTATCATTCATTCACTGAACAGCAATTGCTCTGGCCACTTTTTGCATATTTCTCTTTCATATCGCCACAAATATATTTTTGTTGTTGTTGTTTTTGTAAACGCTGCTGTTTAGGATTGCTGCTAAGGAAGTTTCGTTGTGTCCTTGTCTACAATGATAATAAAGATTTTATCTATCTATATAATAAGCTGTAGAAATAGTTATTTTTATTCTTAAAGTGCATGGCAAGTGCAAGTTTTTCGTTTTTCACTGTCATTCTGTCTCTGCCTGGTATTATTGCACATTAAGTGTTTTTATTTACACATTTTATGTTATATCGTTTGGGCAGTATGTCCTGTGGGAGAGGATCTGGAGCAGGCTGGAAGTTTGAATCCCGGTGTCACAGGATCATTTTAAATGATCAAAACAAAACCCACCTGTTACACCTGCACCCTGAAACCTGAAGATGTTTGTCAGAAGAAAAGGTGAGATCTGAGAGATTCTTCAATCTTGCATGCCACAGAAAACATTTCTCTTTATTTGTATTGTAAAGGAGGTATTGAAATGTGAATGGCCTTTGCACCTTCACATGCACACATGCTGCAAAGGGGCATCTCACATGGACTCTGTGTTTTTGTTCATTTCACCAGGTTTCTTCGTCTGCCCATCTTAATGGATATGGATAAGAGGCTGCGAGTCGTGTTGACCTATTCCTCGACTTAGTCATTCAAGAAGCGTCTATAGGTCAGTAAAACTAAATGTTAAGGTTTGTTTCAGAAAAAGATTCAATGATGCAACGTACAGAGTGTGTATTCATGGGTATTTTTGTTTTCTAACGTCCTTAAATTAAACCACAACATCATTTTTGCACATTCAGACATATCTTGTAAGGTCATTGTTTTGTTTTTGTTGCATACTTACCAGTAAGCTTTGGGGTCGGAAATAAGAAATAAAATAAATCATATAAATAAAGAAAAATAAACAAAAAGAAATCCTCTTGGGTTTCTGTGCTAGGACTTTACATGCAGAAGGCACGGTGCTTTTAAGTCCCAGTAGTGTATGTTGCAGATAAATGATGTTGCTTTACCTGGTGACTACATCTTTGCCATGGGATATGTGCATCATGGCTGACTTACCAGCTATGAGGCTTATTTTAGCGTAGCATGAGCACGACACCTTTATTAAAAAATAGTTTATATCACTTCAAAATGTTGTGCAAAGGTGTTAAAATCAGTGTATAAATCAGTACAAATGATAGTATTCTAACTTCAATGAAACATATTTGCTCTTTGTTAAAGCTGATTTTCCTTATGGGTGTCAACAGGAAGAACTGTTTTTAGTTTTGATTAATACATAAATAAATATATATAGACAGTATTTGCTCACAGCTGAACTATATTTTGTTTTAAAACTTTATTTAGTGTTTTGTAAGTTGCACAATGTATAGAAATGAATCAGCTTTGTGCTCAATATTCAACACTCCTGTCGCTTCTCCATCATACAGAGAAGTAAACAACCACAACTTGTATAATGCAATACAGCATTCAGTATGTCAGTTAATGTAAAGGTGTTTTTAACATAACTGTGAATTTTGGGTAGGAATATGGTTAATTTAAATATCTCATGGTGTCCTCAGTAGCATTTAGTTCCTGTGCAGCTTGTGGTGCAGCCGTACATTTGGCTCAGTTTGTAAAAACAAAAAAAACAATGACATGATAACACATGTACATGATGAGCAGGGTGAATACTTACAGAGTGATTTATGATTTCTTAAACACCATCGTTGTTGAATTTGTATGTTTTTTCAAAGAATGACAAGTATTTAAAGTGCTAATATCCCCATGTTGTTCAAAGGGGAAATCATTACAGACCTGGGTAATATGTCTAGAAACACCAAGAATCTCCTCAAAGCATAACATGTGTTGAGAGAATAAAGGGGAAAAGTTTGGTTTTGTCTTTTAAAGAGTCTAAAGAAGAACTCCACAAGAAACAAACTGTCCACTGAAACTGGTGAAATTCATTGTCGGAGGTTTTATACACATATTTCTTTATTTACAAAAGGTAAGCACAGGTCACTTTGATTGATTAATGAATGGATTTAATGAATATCAATGAGGTCCTACAACACCACTCATTAATACACTTAATCAAGTTCATTTCCTCTGGGTTAATATGTGTCCACGTATTCAACATTTCATTTGGTACACAGAATGGTTATCAGAATCAGAGCAGAAATACTTTACTAGTCCCCGAGGGAGAATTTAAGTGTTACAACTGCTCCTACATGAATATGAGCCTAAGATATAAGTATCAAGATACAAGATATTAACATGAAGATAGATGTATGTGCAATAAAAAAACACAATACATGAAAAATGAAATAAAAAAAAGTCTGTGGTGTATCGATGAGCATCTAGACTATGAATGACTATGTAAAAAGTATGTGCATTTAAAAATATGTGTACGTAAAGATATGTGCGTCAACATTTCTAAATAATAATGATGGAGTATAAACAGCATTGAGACAGAAGTTAAAGTAAAACAAATACATAATGATGAGGGATATTTAAAGCAGTGAAATAAGTCCACAAGTTCACTCAGAGGGAGGAGTTGTAAAGTGTGATGGCCTCAGGCAGGAATGACACCACGATCAGAGAGTCCAGCTCCACCGCTACATCAGTTTGTTTAGTCTCTTTCAATCTGCTGCCCTCCGCCTGCTGCCCCAGCACACAGCAGCTTTGAGGAGAGCACTGCCCACCACAGACTCATAAAACATCCCCAGCATCGTCCTGCAGATGTTAAAGGACCTCAGCCTCTCAGGAAGTAGAGGCTGCTCAGGCCTCTGTGTTCTTTGTACAGTTTATTGTCTACTTGTAGTCCTCCACAGTGTCCACACTGACCCCCAGGACAGATACAGGGGTCACTGGGGTCTTTGCCCTCCTTTGATCCATGATCAGTTCTTTCACCTTGGTCACATTGAGATGGTTCTGCTTTCTCTATGTGACAGTCAGTCCACCGCAGACCTGTACTCAGCCTGTACTCATCATGTGAATTATTATATCTGTCAATTATTATTTGATCACTGGTCCTCTTTATTTCCTTATCTCAATGACAAAGTCTCCAATAAAACATACTTAATCAAAACAGCTTAAGAGACACATAACTTTCTGCTTAAATCAGAGGTTTTAAAGTTATAGACCTTTATAAGTAAAACAACAACAATAAAAAAATATATTGATTTAGTGAAAATGACAGCAAATGCAATAATTAAATAACAGTATACATGCATGTTTTTGTTTTTTTGAAGAACATCTTTTATTTAGCAGGCAAGTGCCGGAAAGCTCAACGATGCTTCATGAATAAAATCATTTCTTGACTTGATGTTTCTGAGCTGCTGATGTGTTGTACAAAGGCGCCCTCTGGTGGTTTGGCTGAGCCTTTAGAATCAGGATCCAGATCCAACCAGTTGTATCCCACACAGACACACTGCTACTATTAACTTTTGTCGTTTGTTCTGTCAGATAAAACTTGGCAGCTTCGATGAGTTTTATGAAATTCTAGCAGTCAGCTATTGATCCGTTCAACCTGATCAACAAACAATCGTCTAAACCAGGTTTGAAAATCAGTTAAAGACAAAGCAGTGCTGAATGAGCCCTCGCACCTCTGGTTGTGTCGCACTGGTGCATCCGGGTCTGAAGCAACATCTGTGTTTTTACTGCACACTGATGGACGGGAAAATTAATTTCATTAAATTATTTTAATGAACGTGTGAGGTTTGGGGGTAAGTGTATTCTTTAGTTGAACAATTACATTTTGTCATAGCAAAACATTTCATATTGACCAGCAGGGACGACTTCAAAGTTCCAAATACAAAAACCTTTCGCATTTTAATCATGGCGGTCTTTTCTGTAAAGTTTTAGTCAAACTGGATGGATCTCAGAGGAGGACTTTGTTAAGTGTGGTAACTCTGAATTGCCAAAATTACACTTAAATTCAAAATATATCCCCAAAAAATGACTGGGAGGCTGTCTGTGGCTCAGTTGGTAGCATCGGTCATCTCTTGGCTGGATGGTCGGAGGTTCGATCCTCAGCTTCTGCAGCCACATGTCCGATGTGTCCTTGGTTCTAAGATCATGTTACCAAGTATTTTTTTACTTTTTGCATTTCACATAAGCCTACATTTTGTTCATGAAGGTGAAATGTTATGTGGGGGCTACGTCTAGAAAAAATAAGAACACCCAGAAACAGATATTTTTATTAGCCACAAATGACACATTAAGCAGGTTTATGAGTTTAAGATGTGCCTAGATGTACTTTATGTTTTTACTTGGCAACATGCTCTGGCTGTTGATGTTATTTATTTATTTTACTCATACACACATTTCTACAGACATACAGAAACCTGCTTGAGTC